CTGTCCCAGGGGGCTTGACCGGGAAGCTTGTGACTGCGTGTCCCTTGCAGGGCCATGGTGTGCAGCCAGAGGAGCAGTGCCCTGTCCCAGTCCCCACGTGTGGGCTTCCTGTCCTCGCTGCTGCCCCAGAGCAAGAAGAGCCCCTCCCGGCTGTCGCCCTCCCAGGGGCCTGCGCAGGCCCAGAGTGCCCCCAAGAGAGAGGCCGCCGGCAGCCAGGTTAGCCAGGTAAGCCCTGTCCGCCGGGGGTGGCCAGCCACCGCACACTGGCACGGCTCCCCACAGCACCCGGCTGCTGGACTCCCGGCCCCGCTGCTGGGAAAGGATGGCACCAGAGCTCAGCCAGGTCTCTGGCCCCGGGGAAGGTGCCCTCTTCCCAGGTGTCTCCCCCACCACAGCCCGATGTGTCACCCCCACCACAGACAGTCTGTGGCGCTCCAGCTTTGAAGGGTCACCCCTTTTCTCATCTGTTTGCCGTGGTGTGATGGTGTGTTGTGATGTGAGAAGCCAGGACCCTGGGGTTCTGAATTTCAGGGAATACAAACCCGTGAGTGGCTACAGCACAAATGCTTTAAGCACCGCCTCCCTACCTGTGCTGTGCCTGCTGCTTCTCTTGAGAGCACAGCTCCTGGGGGGCCTCTTTCTGTGCCAGCCCCGGGCCACACCTGCGGCTTCACACGCAGCATTCCTCCTCCTCGGGCCACCAGAACTCTTTCTTCCAGAACCGTCTGTCAGAGTGAAAGTTTAACAGACCCCGTTATTCATTACCGCCCGAGAGGAGAGCTTGCTCCTTGTACGCGTTTCTGTTTAGTCCCGGATGAAGTCAGCCACTGCGGTCTGTGCCCTCAGCTGCAGCCCCGTGACTGGAGAGCTGTGTGTGATGGGACGCTTTGGGGCTGTGTACTGCTCCCAGGGTGGGGACCGCCCCAAGGGCCAACTACATCCCACAGTTTATGAAGGCCTTGTCTGTGTGAGTACCTGAGTCGCTGCAGACTTAAAATGCCATCAGTGCTCAGGCACTCTAATCCCTGCATCCACGAGGCTCGAACCAGCCCAAACCAAGCAAATACCATTGACTGGTGAAGCCCAGACCCCAGAACTGTGGAATGTGGCTGAGTAAGTTACCCTGCTCGATTTCCTGATGTTCCTTACCACGCAACATTTAATAAGTTCATAGATGCTACCTCGGATGCTGGGTCCCTCAAAACATGCCAGAGACGATGAAATCCTGTTGTCAGCTTGGGATTGAAGCAGACACAGTCACACGCTCTTTGCGAGTAGGCCAGTGGCCTCGCTTATAAAGTGTTTGGGAATTAAGTGTCACGTGGTGAGGCTGAAACAGGGCTGGAAGCCTTCCGTGCAGATCAGAGCCCAGGGATGAGGGGATGAACTTGTGCGATGCAGCAAAACTGCCCTTCTGCAGCCTCTGAAACGGATCCACAGGAAGTTCAGGTCACCCTGAGATATGCTACCAGAGCAGGGGTCGCCCTTTATCCCATTACTAAGTGTCAATGGCAGAAGTCTGTAGTCTGAAAACCTACAAACAGCCTGGGTAGTTGTGTTTTAAATAAGTGATGGACTAAGTAAGTTCAGCATCTGTTTTTATTTTAAAAATAATTGATGGATTTAAGGTTTCAGTGATGTCAGGCTGGAGACTAAGGTGCGCCTGATCCTGCTATAGTCTTTGCAATTGCTTGCTATGCGTCGGAGAGCTGGATAGTAACTAGGGATGATAGAAAAAGGATTGATGCCTTTGAGCTGTGGTGCTGGAGAAGAGTATTGAATATACGATGAACTGCCAGGAGAACAAACAGGTTTGTCCTGGAGACGGTGAAGCCCAGATGCTCCTTGGAGTCAAGGATTCTAAAGCTTTGTCTGACATACTTTGGGCATGTTGCAAGGAGGGACCAGTCACTGGAGAGGGATGTCATGTTTGGGAGATTGGAGGGACAGCACAAGAGAGGAAGATCCTCGATGAGATGGATCGATTCTGTGAATGGGGTGGTGGGAGTAGGTATGTCAGAGACAGTGCGATTGGCACAGGACGGAGCAGGGTTTAGGGCTCTTGTACACAGGGTCGCTATGAGTCACAAGTGACTCGATGGCACATAACAACAACAACAACAACAACAATATCTGAAGGATGTAATGGATGCATGGTGGTGCAGTGTGCCTAACACGTCGAGTTGCTAACCAAAAGGTTGGCAGTTTGAATCCACCAGCTGCTTCTTGGGAGAAAGATGGGCCTTGGTGTCTTTCACAACACTGTGAGCTTAGAGCACCTGCCTGCCTTTTTTAACATTAAAGAACAAACAGAAAGCACAAACCATATTTTTATTGCTAAGCTTGCTGTATGTCCAATCATTAGGCCGTGTGGATTGTACGGAGCCTTGTACATTTCACTCCGCCCACACTTTGCTGGTGCTGTGTTGCTGTAACTTGTGTTCACAGCGTTACTGTGAACTGAAGTGTTCACGGTGTTACTGTGTACAGGAGGTGGTGATGCATACTCCCAGCTTTCACCTTGCATCTGGAGGCAGAACTGAAGAAGGGACGGGCCTGTGCCCGAGCCGTCCTGGCCTCCCTGCTGGCGGCTGTGGGCACAAGGGCAGGGCCCACAGAGCCTCCGTTTGTTCTTTGTCCCCTCCAGCTAAAGCTGTCAGCCACTCTGTGAGGCAGGACCACTGTGCGGTCTGTTATTAGAGAGATAACCCCCTAATTAGCTGGGAGGAAGGTGTGCACTCATTACTGTCATTAGAATCGTTTACCTCCTACCTGAGCCATCAGTGGCCGGAACCACTGCCCCTGGGCATCACTCATCCTGCCTCTCGCTCTGCGTCCCAGCTCTC